ATGATGGCACCTATCCACAGAGCTGCCGTCAAGGCTAAGTTATAAAATTCAGGTGGAGCCCCCAGAATAGTTCCTACCATTGTTTCTAAGTGTCAGGAATTATTATATTCATCTGCGTTTCCTAATTTTCCTATATTGGACATGCATTATACCAAAAGTTAACGAATAAGCTCCCCTGAGAGGAGAGAAGCTGCACAGATATAGAGAGGGCACAGAGGAGAGAGGGAGCGTGGCCACAGAGAAAGGGAGAGACCAGGAGGCCCGAGGAGGAATAGAATGAGAGTCTGCAGACCCAGAGAGGAGGGAGGTCTCTGGCTTCCTGACGTAGGCATTATAAAAGCCCTGGGAGAGTGTCCCTTTGCCACCTCTGCCAGCCAAGCGTGACAAGAGCAGATGGACCCTGGCCCAGTAGCCTTCTCGCCTATCATTTGGAGAAGACCTTTGAGGCCTCCCTGGAAGCTCCCTGGACATTCCCTGCACAAACAGCCCCAGCCTACTCTTCGCCAATGTCTTCCCGGCAGAGCTCACCTGGAGAAAGGCTTCAGGATAAGCGTGGGCACTCACCTGACTGTGCCTGGGCCAACCCACACCCAGGACCTTCTGAGGGCCGGTTCCTGCCACTGTCATGTGCCTGGAAGTCTGGAGGGTTGAAAGACCAGATGCTTCATTCACAGACCAGCCGGAGAAAGCGCTGGCCAGTTTCAGTTCTGTGTTTGTAACATACCAGCCGGCGAGTGCAGAAGGTACTTTACCTTCATCCTTCAGCTAGAGCCCGTCCTCTGCAGTCATGCACAGTAGCTGAGAGGGCCCAAGAGCTCACACATGCTGTCCTCAGGGAAGGGGTGAGGAAGGCACTGGATCACAGGTTCCAGCCTCAGCTCTGACATGTAGCCTCCATGTTAGCTAGGATAAGTGGCTTAATTTTGCCAAAATTCAACGGATCCTCAAAGAACGGCTTGAGTTGAGCTGAGAATCACCATGCTGGATGTGACCTGCTTGGTAAGATGAAGTATGTGAGCTACTTTACATTTGAAGAATATCTAGATCTTGCAGTTCCTGCTAAGTCTGAGGTTAGCAAGACTGGGAAATAGTACTGTATCAGTGTTTCTAACTTTATGCAGTTGACACATTCTAGAAGTAAAATAATAAAACAAAATAGTCCATAACCCTTATCCACAATTCTAAAATCCCCACACTCTGAAAACCAAGATTTTTCACTAAATTTGGTGCCACAACTTACCTGATCTTATGGTGTTTATTATTTTGGGTATCAGTGTTCACAATAAACTGCAGAATAGTAATGTGTTTGATTATAGGGTGCTGCCCCAGATCTCACTGGGGGAGTTACTTAATATATGGTAACTGCATCATCATACCTTCCTAAAATATGGAAATTTCTAAATTCTGAAACAAGTGTGGCCCCAAAGGTTTTGCGTAAGGGATTGTGACTTACAAAGCAAATTCAGATGATGCACAAAGCACAGGCAGGGGACGCCCGTTCCCAGGTTGGGATTGCCGTGTCCTGTCTGGAGTGCCGGGTCCTTGGGAAGCCTTCAGGAATCTGAAGATGAACATATTCAGGATGAGTCAAAGAGCACATGGTGGAGATATTTCTCCTAAACCAGTACTCCTCACATTTTAATGCGTCTCCGGATCTCCTAGGGATCTTATAAAAGTGCAAATTCTGCCTCGGTAGATCTGGAGTGGGTCTGAGTATCTGCGTTTCGAACAATGTCCATGTGATTCCTTCTGGAACTGTCCTAAACTCTGGACAGGCCTCCACAAGGCTCTGAGGGATGACAATCTGGTGTCCCTCCCAGGGAGAGTTGCCCCTGCCCTTGGCTGGGGCTTGCTAAACACTGACCTTCCCCTTCTCTGTATCCTCCTGCCTTCTGCTCTCTCTTCCTTCCCAGATGGGCTAACGCCCCCTGTGCCTCTGCTGCAGACCTTGGCTGGGCTCCACTAAGTCTCATGACTCTCCACTCGCCCAGTTCCAAGGTACTGCTTAGGTGAGGTGCTTTTCCAGCTGGCTGACCTTACCCCCTAAGCATGAACTAAATTAGTTTAACTCTCAAATTCCTGAGATGCTGTACTATCTTTTCTGGATATCTCCCGGAAAAATTTTCCACTGTTTGCAAACTACTCCTTAGCCCTGACCACCCACAGGCACTGTGATAATACATTTACTCACCAGACAATTAGTGACCCCGAAAAGGGCCATGGCTTATTTTGTTTCTATTTCAATGCTTGCTGTGCCCCGACTGATTTCCCACCTGCCCTACCTGCAACTTACTTTCCAAGTGAACATTTTTTTTTTTTTATTTCAGCATATTATGGGGGTACAGATGTTTAGGTTATGTATGTTGCCCTTCCCCCCCCTCCCCCCACCAAGTGAACTTTCTTACTGCAAAAGTCATATATACTTATTTGAGAATTTAGAAAATATTTGATGAGCAAGAAAAAAACAAAAATGCTACTGGCCATCACCCAGAGATGACCATTGTAACATTTTGACTCACGGCCCTTCAGTCCTTATACATTAACTTTGCTTAACAAAATCTGGCTCATACTACATACACCATTTCAAACTGCTTCCCCCATCTCCATTTGCAGTATTAATATTTTTGACCATTTTTACAAGTGAAAAAAATTCTGTCACAACATTATTTTAAATGATTATGTAGTTTTCCATTTAATTGACGAGCTTTTGGGATGTTTCCAATCATTTGTGGTTAAAATAAAACTGCAATGAACATCCTCATTCAACCAAAAGATATCTTTTGATACTTCTTGGGAATTACATTATTAAGTCAAAGTATATGAATTTCTTCATGGTTGGCACTACCGCTGCCAAAGCAGAAAGCATGACTTCTAAACTATCAAATACAAACCAGATCTTTTGGACTAAATCAGTGTCTTGAATCCCCACTAACCTTAGTTAACTGGCACTGACATGGGAAAGCAGGGAATTCCAGAGCTCAGAGGAACCTGGAGGCCTTCAACAATCACATGCCTCTGTCTCCAGCTCAGAAAGAGGACAATTGCTTAGAGATCTTCTTTAGAGATCTAAAATTTCCCCAAGTCCACAATTTTTTTTTCACACTTCTAGGCTACGTTAAAACCAGTAATCATTTCAGCATTTACTCTTCCATCCAATATTTATATACTTAAAATGAGGGGATTAGATCAATAAGGGATTGGTTAGGTCGTTTATACTATACTATAGCCATTCAATAAAAATATGATACAACCATTAAAAAATCAAAGAAGCTCTTTATGTGCTAATACAAAATGATATCTTAGATACATTTTTACATGAAAAAATGCAGAACAGTGTTTACAATACACACATTATATAAAAAGGAGGAAAAGAAATACAGTGACATTTTGCCATGGACATTTTGTTTGTGTATGCATAAAGCATCTTTGGAAAGATACACAAGAAACTGATATACAAGGAACTGATAATATAATACCTTGATTTCCAGGGAAACTAGGTGGCTAGAAGAAAGTTTTCATTCCAAAATCAAATCTTTCACATGCTGAACTACATGAATGTATTACCTGTGAAGGAAAATAAAAATCTTAGAACCAAGCTCCCATCCAACTCCCTATGCAAAAGGGAAGGTAAAGGCCTCAGGCACCTGTGAAACACTCGCCCCACAGATCACTCATAAGGAAATTCCTCGCTGGCCTCCCCTAAGCAAGGACGTGCAAATTGTAACCGTGCAGGCTACGTCTAGCTCCTGAAACTGAAGTCTGTTTGATTCCACACTAATAATGAATGACAAGTTTATCTTCCCAGGTGCAGAACAGAGACAAGATAGGATCAAATATTCTTCCACCTACCCAGGGACAACCACATAATTGGTGCTTCCTTCACTGCCTTTTTCTCTTCTGACATTCCCCTATCTTATGTAAAAGGCCTCATAAGAATGTAACCATTTTGCCTTCCTGCCCACTCCCCTCTTTATTTCTCTCTGTGTGCCCCATTGCCCTTAAATACTGAAGCTCCCAAGTTCCCCTTCAGGAAAACAGTCACGGGTCTGTCTGTGGTTTTTGTTTTTCCCAGGCATGTTCTCAAACTTTGGCTAATAAACCTCCACTGCTTGAGACCTTTGCCTGGGTCACTTATTTTGGGTTGTCATACCTATTTAAAAATATTTTAAAAAAATATTTTTCCTTTTCTTTTGCCCCTCTAGAACTTCATAGCAAAAAAAATAAAATGAAATGTAAAAAACCGTAAAATGAGAGAATTGGGGCATTTGATTACATCACCAATCAGATACATTTATTTGTTTATTCTCCAAAGGCTGCTGAAAAGGTCAGTAAAGGAATAAAAGGAGAGGACTGTAAGTACAAAGAGAATGCGAGAGGGAACAAAGATGGGCCATGTGAACATACCTGATCATGTAATAATAATAATTCTAGCTAACAATTACTGTGTTACTATGTGCCAATCTTTATGTATATTATCTCATTTAATCTGCAGTCAAGTAGGGAGATTAATATCCCCATTTTCAGGTAAGAAAACTGACGCTTGAAGAAATCAACTAATTTGCTCAAGTTTCCATCTCTAATACGTAGAATCTGGATTCTGAGAGAGGACTTGCCTCTGACCTAGAAATCTGACTTGCTTGGGACTTCACGCATACGCTTAACTGCCTCTCCTCTGACTATTTTTCTGCTGGATTATTTGCCTCTTTTCTTAGTATTTTGCAAGAGTTCTTCGTATTTTGTTTGTAGGGGCTCAGAGCAGGGATGGATCTATCTGGGCAGAAGTGGCATCAGACATGTCCTGCCTTCTCACCAAAGTTAGGCTGTGCATGAGTCCAGGCGGGTCAGCGCACGGAGGCGAGTGCAATCTCAGATGACGGCAGGAGATCAACCCGATACAGACAGAGGCCAGAGGCCACCAAGGATGAGTGGACTCTGACCCCCTCGGAGAAAAAGCGAGTGCGACTCACAGGAAGAAGACAAAGAAACCAAAGCTTCCACTGTGTGTAGACAGTCCGAAGTCACCAGAAGGAAGAAGAAAACCTGAAACAGAGAAATCTGGCCAAGAGCTAAGACCTGTGTAAATGAGACCTGCCCACTCTGCCTGGAACCAGACTTCCGGAAGCAGAGATCAGAGCACATGCGTGCAGTGCTGCACTCGGAAGGGAGAAGGAGGTGGCTCTGAGGGAGCAGGTAAGGGGCTGGAGAGGGTCATGGAGGGGCTGGAGAGTCCTGAGAGGCAGCATCACCCAGCAGGTGACCTCTAGTCTGGGAGGCTGGCTTCTGGGATCATCTTTCAAACTCTGCCACTCTTTAGCTATGAAGCCTTGGGCAAGTCGCTTCACCATTCTGAGTCTTGGCTTCCTCATCTATGAAATGGGTATAAAATAATCATGCTAAATATGTACTGAGCACCTGCTGTGTTCTTCTGGGCACATCATAAACTATTCCTTCTCCACAGCAACCCTGCAAAGTGGGATTGTTAGCCTCTTCTACAGAGGAAAAGGAAGTTCAGTGAGGTTAAGCCATTTGTCCAAGATCAGCAAATAAGTCTGGTTCCAAAGCCAGCACACTTTCTACTCCCCATTCAGCCTCCTTCACAGGGTGGTTTTAGATGATCAAACAGCCTTAAAGAAACAGAAAAAAAAATGGTAAAAGGCAATTATACTATCTAGATGTATCACTATACTTAGATCCCAGCAAGGGTCAGGGCCCTTTATAAACTGTGAAGTGCCATGAAAATGCCAGTTCTTCAACTCTATCATCTTGAGGTTGAAAACATTGGGGTGATGCTACATACAATTAATATTTGATGATGACTTGTTCATAGACCAACGTGATAACTTTGGGGTGGCATTTAGGCCCTACTGTAGCTGAGAAGTCCTGGCTTGGGGTGGGGTCAGTACATAGCCAGAGTTTCTCACCGGCTGATGCTGAAACAACAGTGGGCCCCTGCAGGGAGCACCCCAGATAAATGTCCAAGTAATAGAGATCATTCCTCCTCTTGAACAGCCTTTTCCAGCTTTGGCCATGGAACTTCAGAGAATGTAGATCTGGTCTGGGTGGAAATAAGAGCTCTTTAAGGATAGTAATACAAGCTTATTAAAGTTAGAATTTTCAGATAAGAGAATTAAAAAAAATTATAATCTTGCCCCCAGAGATAACCATGGCTGACATTTGGTTATTTATCTTTCCAGACATATTTTCCATTGCACACATATTTTTGAAAATTGGATTATATTGTAATACGGTTTTATTACTGGTTCTTTTTTACTTAATGACATTATATCACAGAAGTATTTCCATATCAATAGATGTTTTATCACATGATTTTAAAGGCTGCAGAGTGTCTCTTCATATGGATGGAGGAGAATTT